AAGAACTAGAAATACTAGAAGTGAGGTTATGTCTCATGATAATATTTCTCTGAGAAATTGATAAGATAATAACAGGTAATTAATTGATCAAATCATTGATAATAGGAACTAGACATGAAATATTAAATATATTATTTTATTTCAGGAGGTTATTGAGAACACAAACTTGATATCATCAGAGCAGAGATGCTTAATTCCAAGATATTTTGGCTTTTTCGGAATCTATCAAACATTGTATGAAGGCTAGAACTTTCAGTGGATTCAATAAAGATAGGTACCTACCTGAATCAACTCATTGATAATAGGTACTGGACAGGAAATATTAAAACATTATTATTTGTTCCAGGAGGTTATTGATGAGACCACAAACTTGATCATTATATCATCAGATCAGAGATGTTTGATATCCCAACATATTTTGGCTTGTTCGGAATATATAAAAGATTGTATGCAGGCTTTAACTTTCAGTATAAATACAATAAAAGTACTAGGTAGGAAGCAAATCATATTGATAGTACATAAAATATCAATACATTATTTGTTTCAGGAAGTTATTGAAAACACAAACTTGATGATATCATATTATCAGAGCAGATGTTTCATTCCAAGAAATTTTGGCTTCTTCAGAATCTATAAAAGATTGTATATGCAGGCTTGAACTCTCAGTAGTTACAATGGAGGTTGGTACCTAAATCAAAACATTGATAGTATAGGTAGGTACTGGACATGAAATAATAATAATTTATTTCAGGAGGTTATTGAGAACACAAACTTTTGATGCTATCATCAGAGCAGAGATGTTCAAATCAAAGATATTTTGGCTTCTTCGGAATCTATAAAATATTGTATGCAGGCTTGAACTTTCAGTAAATTGAGCATCTGAAAGTATGTCCAGGGTTCAGAAATCACAAATGATAACAAGAAGAGAACTTACAACAGAATTAGAACAGAACAAAAATCATCATAATGTATTATTATGTTGATGATGAGTTTTCTCTGAGGAAGAAAGGAACAAAGGTAGGTGGATCAAATCATAGATATTACATGGATATAAGATATCTAATCATTGTTTGTTTTAGAAGGTTATGAAAACACAAACTTGATGTCATCTATAAAAATTGTATGAAGGCTTCAACTTTCAGTAGATTCAGCATCCAGAGTTGAGAAATCAAAAACAACATAGAGAAATATTGCCAATGGGCAATAACTTCTAGTAGTGCTCAACAAGAAGCTGAGATACATTTTTTCAAAACGAAACTCGAAAATCTTCACAATTAATTATAAATAATAGAATGTAAGTTTTTTATTTGAACATATTATTATTCCAGGGAAATTTTGCAAATATCATGATATCCATATTTTTTCAATAAAATTCCATTTATATCAGCCTATCCCTAGATTTTTTTGAATACTACCTAAAACTGTTCGCATAATGTCCTATACATGTCCCAGAAGACCTTATACGGATGTTCTAAGACGTTATTAGGATGTAGAGAACGGTAACAGGAGGACGGTCTAGGGATATCGCTAGGCTCGCCCTCGACGACCTGAGGACATTATTGTGAAAGCCTCAGAAGGGCCTCAAAATGTACTTGTGCTATCTGGGACGATGTGTAGAAAAATATAAGTATTTTTTTTATTCAGTTAATATGACAGTTAATATGACAGAGCACAAGAGCACAATAAGAAATGTGTGTAATTAATATCAGTTACAAACATAATATAGTAGCTGGGGATACAAATTTATAGAGAAGGAGAAGCCTCCTGAGCAAGCTTGTGTTGTGGCATCACCGTTCTCATTATATGGATACAATTCATTGGATGGAAAATGTAGACTAGTTCAACGAGAGCAAACATGTGTGACCATTAAATGTTTTCCAGTATAGCATTTAAGCAATCAAAACTATTCTTCATAAAACATTTCAATTTTGGTTTAATTTTCTTGATACTGGTAATATTCTTCAATTCAGAGGGTAATTGATTATAAAGTTTGGGTCCAATATATGTTACGAATCTCTGATTATGACGAAGTCTGGCAAAGAGAACATAAATATTCGGGTTTGTGTTGAGGCGGGTGTTATGTGGATGTGTTTTGAAATTCAAGGGTGTGTTTATTATCCACAGGACACAATGATAAATATAAAGTTCCTTCACATTGAAAACATCCGCTTCTTCGTACAATTTCGTGGTGGAGAATCTTTTATTTTTCTTCAATAAGATTTTCAGTAAGGAATTTTGGACTGTCTCTAAATTCCACAATGTAGTTTTGAATGATCCACCCCAAGCAATAATACAGACGAATAATGGATTCTGATAGTGCGCTATAAATCATCATGAGAGTTTTTTTATTCAGAATATTCCTGAGTTGGTAAAATTCGTAGATCAATTTACGGAGTCTTTTTGTAGTGTATGTGATATGCTCGTTCCAGCGCAGAAATTGGTCTACCATAACACCCAGATATTTTATCGACTGAGTTTTTTTACGGTGGGGCTATGACAATTAGTGGATGCATCACAGTTGACATTATGGATTTGAAGGGTCTGAAGAGTGGGTTGATCTTTGGCCGTCGAAGAGAATGCCATGAATTTGGTTTTTTTCAAGATGTTAGTTCTTATTGTTTGAATTACACTTACTTTCTATTTTTCAAGTTCCAAGCCATGCGTTAGTTACAGCTTGTTACAAGCAGAAATAATAGATGACGAATTCCTACTGATTCTGGTTATCAATGTTGCCAACTTGGAATCAGATGGCTTTATATATCGTGAGGGTTGCTGGGCTGTGTACACGTGTACATATACCAAAGAAGGACAGATTTGTATTTCGTGCAAGATAATTTATTCAATATTCGTAGCAGAGCGCTTTCGACTGTTAAGTCATCATCAATGCGTACTCGTCACTTTAACAGGGAAATTTTTCCATAAAAATATCTTTGGTCCAGTTTGAAGTGAACTTGGTGATCAAGTTCACTTCAACACGACATGTCGCAGCGACAATGGCTGCTTAACAAAATGCAATCCGTATTTTACCCCGTTTTGGAAAATACATTTTAATTCGTTTGTAACGTATTTTACCTCAATGTCGTTAGTTTTAAAATGGACCAAAGATATTTTTATGGACCATTTCCCCTGTTAACCTGACGAGAACGCACTGATGATGACTTCACAGTCGAAAGCGCTCTGCTACGAATATTGAATAAATTATCTTGCACGAAATACAAATCTTCCCTTCCTTGGTTTATAGATCGTGAAAGTTTGTTTGTTGATCTGATGGATGCAGTCATCAACCTAGTATTGCGATTGAGATGATGAGCAAATCGATTGAATTTCACTATTATACGCATGCTTGAGCGGAACAGAACTCCAATATCATTTATTATTAGTGTGGTATGCTCCAATCAGGTGAATTGTTGGAATTTTTTACTAGTTTTTACTGATCGTAACAAGTATAATGAAATGTGAGTGATACTATACATATATACTCACCATTTTTGACCAGATTAATTACGATAATAGATGAAGGAAGGGAAGTACCATGCTCATTGGATGATACTACGAAGATATGGTACAACTGGTTCTCTGATAAATCAGTAATGGTTGCTGTTGTACTGGTCGTATTGAGTTGCTGAAATGAAAAAATATCTGAATACATAATTTTTCATTGATAATATATATTTGTGCATACCAGTATCTTATAGTATAGTTCGTTATATTAGTATCATGAAAATATCAAAAATGCATATTAGACAGTTGGCAGAATATATAAAATGAATGAAATAGTAAAGAGCCAATTTACATATTCTGCTAAAAAAATTCCTATGAAGTTGAAGGGTAAGTTTAAGACAATTTTGGAGTCATTAGAAAAAAGACATTGTAGTGGTGGAAAAACCAAATGGATGATTGAGAATCTGTATCGTTGAATAAATATATAATCAGAGAAGAATATATTATTCCTACCATTGATGAATTGTCCCCAAATTTAGCTCATAAAAACATTTTTACCATTCTAGATCTCAAAGTTGGATCTCACCAAATCGAATGGGATAATGCATCTTGTAAATTATGTTTTTTTCCACTGTTGTTGGTAGAATCATTCGAATCATCAATATTGAGACATAATACAATCAACTAGGATTGGATGTTATCCAATGTTCTGCGTGGCATATAGCCAGGAAAGTAGTTGTTTTTCTCTCGTTATCTACCATTTTCGTTCATTTTAGGAACTATTGTGGTAATAACTTTGAGAGTTTTTTTGTGACATAATAAATTGTTCCAGGGATTGGGAAAATTATATCATGATCTCGTTTATGCCATACCTACTCTGATGTAGTTGAGGCTTTTATATAAGGAATATTCGGAATCCATATTCGTTAAAGTAATGATTCATTTTAATTATCATCAGCAGTTCAGTTTCGGCCACAGACAATAATCAGGTTCAAAATGAAAGTGCATGTTTTTATGTACCTGAATGAGTGATCACATCCCTAATAACACACTTATGTCCCATGGATATCCTTAGGACGTACTGTCGAGACATTCAGGACGTCCATAGGACATCCGAATTTGGTACCGCGGACGTCCATTGGACGTCTGTGGGACGCACAAATGTCCCACTTGAGGACCAACTAGGGACGTCCTTGAGGGACGTCCCTGGGACAACTATCAAATACCTAAATCCTACAGTATTACTCATCAAGCACTACAGAGGACGTCCTTAGGACATCCATAGGACAACCTATCAGCAACGCTGTGAAATATCAATTGGATGTCCAGAGGATGTCCCAGGGACGAAGAATCATTCTCGAATTTGAATTTGTTTGAGTCCCTTTAGGACCAGATCTTGCATAACTGATTAGGACATCCACTTGAGTTGATGGTCCGTAGAAGGTCCCCAAAAAGTTTCCCAAGGATGTCCAATGGACTTTCGTGAAGGACATTGACGAGGAGTACTTATAGCCTACGAGCAATCATTCGTCGGCGAGGTGTAAGTTAACGTCCTCGCAGGGACAAAGTATTGTAAGTACCGACTAGGACGTCCATAGGACGTTATTTGTATTATGTACCAATTGGGACATCCGACGGACATTCGAAGGACATCCCTAAGGGACATTTCGATTGTTATACGATACTGAAAATATTAAGTGCTCCGGTGCAGAGATATTTGAAGGAATGTACCATCAGGGACATTTCATGGTTGTTTAGAAGGGACATTATATAAGATCTGAAGTCATGCCAGTATATGTACTACTCGGGACATCCGATGGATGGCCCTAAAGGAACGTTTAAAATCATATCCCATCAGGGACATGCCAAGGACGTCCTTGCATGGGCATTCTACAATATGTACCACGTGGAACGTCCAAGAGATGCCATTTCTAGGACATTTGAAATGATGTACCAGCTGGGACATTGCGTGGACGTCCTTGCTCAGACATTGCATGAGATGTACAATATGGGACGTCCCAAGGACACTTATTTTTGGTTCGGGACATTCGGACGTGAATTGTTCCAAATAGGGACGTCCCTAGGACGTTCTGTGCTATTAGGGATTCCATCGGAATAACTCTGGGAAATTTGGATGGTGAACCCAATTTGAATTTTTCTTTAAAAAATAGTGTTTGGTGTACAATAATTACTTACATTATCTAGTTTGAGCACTGTCTCATGCATCGATGTGTTGTCCACTTTTTGATAATGCACAATGTATTCGTCAACGTCAGTTGAATTCTCTGGAGGGTTCCACTCTAGCATGATCGTATGTTCGTCGACTATCACTGCGTGTAAAGCAGATATTGGTCCTGGTAATCGACCGCTGCCTGAAAATTCCATGTATGAGGCTTATTTGTTGACAGTCGAATTATCAAAATAATCAATGATGCCACAAACAACAACACAATGAAATCGAATAATGATGTAACATGTATAACAGATGAAAATAACAAACCCTTTCAAAATGACAAAAACATGGCGGATTACTGTAACAGTTATTTTGCAAATATTGGCCAAAACATGGCGGCTCAAATTGACAATCCGATCCAGAACGTTGTGAACCAATTTCCTAACATCAAAAACTCAATGTTTTTAAGCCCAGTTGACAAAAATGAAATTATAAACCATATAAAATCATTGAAAGATAACAGTTCCCCAGGAATAGATGGCATCACTGCAAAATTAGTGAAGAGTTGTCATCTATATATAATTGACCCTTTAATTCATATTATAAATTTGATTTTTAGCAACGGAGAAATACCCGATGATTTTAAAATATCAGTGATAACACCAATATTCAAATCAGGAAACAAAACAAATATACACAATTTTAGACCAATTAAATACTGTCTGTAGGTTAATCGAGGAGGTGGTACATTCATTTTACTTGGTTCTTTGGGATTTTCTCTCCTCGTTTCTATAAAATAAAAGTATTCGTATTATTTCAATATATTTGTAGAGGGACAAATCAGATGATTTGCCCCAAAATGTCACTGCGTTTAACAAATTTTTCTATCAGGGAGTCTAAAAGAAAAATCCAGTAGCTTGTCAGTGACAATTTGTTTGAAAAAATTTTTGAAGGAAAGAAATATAGATATATTGAAAAAATATCGAATTTGTACTTATCTTTGGACGTTTCGGGACCGATTCTGCTCCCGTTCTCAACATGTAAATGCAAATTATTTTTCTTTGAAAGTTGTGCTGCGTATATAGTTTGACACTTTTCAGTGTCATACTGATGTTGGCATATGAATGAGCGATTTTAGTCTACAAATGAGTTACAGGATGTTTTCATTAATTGATCTTGAATCTACCATTTTCATGTTCAGTTTTCAGTAGTGAATACCATGTTCTATCAATATCAACTGAACAGGAAGCAATGCTTTTGATATTATTCCACTGTGCCATATGTTGTCCATCTTCAGTGAGGATATGTTCAGTTAGCTTCGATTTATCGATATGTCTTTTCTTGATATTGTATTTGTGTTCTTTTGTCCTTACTGAGAGAGGTCTCTTCGTTTCACCTGTATAATACTTTCCACAAACACAAGGTATACTATAAATACAATTTTTTTGATGATTGTTCTTCATTTTTTGGCTTTGTTTGTGTTAGAATGGATCTCATTGTATTTTCAGTTTTGAACACAGTTTTCACTTGGAACTTATCACCAACACGTTTTATTTTTTCAGATATGCCGGGAATGTACGGTATTATATTCGTCGTTATTGATGGTTGTTTTTGTTGTGGTGTATTTTGTTTGTTTTCAATTTGGTGAATCGTTCTATCAATGAAGTTCCTTGGATATGAGTTGAGTTGAAGAACATCTCTGATGTGGTGGATTTCGTTATTGAAAATTTGTTGGTTAGATGATATTGATTTGGCTCGATCATGAAGTGATCTGATTATTCCTTTTTTGATAGCTTTCTGATGATTTGATTGGAAATTGAGGTATCTATTAGTATGAGTCTTTTTACGATATACACTTGTTAAGAAAACATTGTTTGATTTTTTGATAAGAACATCTAAAAATGGTAACTGATTGTCAGATTCGATTTCCAAAGTGAACTTTATAGTTGGTTCTGCATTGTTTACATGATCTAGAAAATTATCTAGTTCTATAAGGGTATGTGGCCAAATTATGAAGATGTCATCTACGTATCTCCACCACGTTTTTGGTTGTTTTTCGTAATTTTTAATAATGTTTTCTTCGAAATTCTCCATAAATATATTGCTCAAAATTGGAGATAGTGGTGAGCCCATAGCCATGCCAAAACTCTGTTGATAAAACTCATCATCCAATTGAAAATATGTAGTTTTTAGGCATAATTCCAAAAATTCCAAAATTCCTTCGATACTCAGATTGGTTCTCTCAGTAAGAGTTTCATCATCTTTTAATTTATGTTTCACTATTTGTAAAGTTTTATCTATAGGAACATTTGTGAATAAACTCACTACATCAAAACTAACAAGAGTGTCATTTATATCCAATGTGATATCGTTCAATGTTTCTAAGAAATGAGGAGTATTTCTAATGAAACTCTCACTCTTACCTGATATAGGATTGATAATATTCAAAAGAAATCTTGCTAAATTTTGACATGGAGATCCAATTGAACTCACTATTGGTCTCAAAGGAATATTTGGTTTATGTATTTTTTGGAGTCCGTAAAAATGTGGAGGTTTGCTGTGATATATGGAGATATGTTCTTCCTTTCCGCAAAGACTTCCTGATGAATTTTCAAATGAGTACCGAATCAGAAACAAAATCATCATTGAAAAAGAACACAAAATCACACAAAACATAAGTAACATAGAGAAACAGTCACTCAATAACTTGAAACACGATAACACAATCAAAATACTCCCAGCTGATAAAGGCAATGCTACAGTCATCATGGACAAAATTGAATAAGACAATAAAATTGGACAACTGATAAACGATGGCAATTACACGAAATTAAATAAAGATCCTACAGCGAACATTGAGAGAAAGATACGCAACACTATAAAGAAACACGAAAATCAACTAACACTTGCGGAAAGGAAGAACATCTCCATATATCACAGCAAACCTCCACATTTTTACGGACTCCAAAAAATACATAAACCAAATATTCCTTTGAGACCAATAGTGAGTTCAATTGGATCTCCATGTCAAAATTTAGCAAGATTTCTTTTGAATATTATCAATCCTATATCAGGTAAGAGTGAGAGTTTCATTAGAAATACTCCTCATTTCTTAGAAACATTGAACGATATCACATTGGATATAAATGACACTCTTGTTAGTTTTGATGTAGTGAGTTTATTCACAAATGTTCCTATAGATAAAACTTTACAAATAGTGAAACATAAATTAGAAGATGATGAAACTCTTACTGAGAGAACCAATCTGAGTATCGAAGGAATTTTGGAATTTTTGGAATTATGCCTAAAAACTACATATTTTCAATTGGATGATGAGTTTTATCAACAGAGTTTTGGCATGGCTATGGGCTCACCACTATCTCCAATTTTGAGCAATATATTTATGGAGAATTTCGAAGAAAACATTATTAAAAATTACGAAAAACAACCAAAAACGTGGTGGAGATACGTAGATGACATCTTCATAATTTGGCCACATACCCTTATAGAACTAGATAATTTTCTAGATCATGTAAACAATGCAGAACCTACTATAAAGTTCACTTTGGAAATCGAATCTGACAATCAGTTACCATTTTTAGATGTTCTTATCAAAAAATCAAACAATGTTTTCTTAACAAGTGTATATCGTAAAAAGACTCGCATACTAATAGATACCTCAATTTCCAATCAAATCATCAGAAAGCTATCAAAAAAGGAATAATCAGATCACTTCATGATCGAGCCAAATCAATATCATCTAACCAACAAATTTTCAATAACGAAATCCACCACATCAGAGATGTTCTTCAACTCAACTCATATCCAAGGAACTTCATTGATAGAACGATTCACCAAATTGAAAACAAACAAAATACACCACAACAAAAACAACCATCAATAACGACGAATATAATACCGTACATTCCCGGCATATCTGAAAAAATAAAACGTGTTGGTGATAAGTTCCAAGTGAAAACTGTGTTCAAAACTGAAAATACAATGAGATCCATTCTCACTCAAACAAAGCCAAAAAATGAAGAACAATCATCAAAAAAATTGTATTTATAGTATACCTTGTGTTTGTGGAAAGTATCATACAGGTGAAACGAAGAGACCTCTCTCAGTAAGGACAAAAGAACACAAATACAATATCAAGAAAAGTCATATCGATAAATCGAAGCTAACTGAACATATCCTCACTGAAGATGGACAACATATGGCACAGTGGAATAATATCAAAAGCATTGCTTCCTGTTCAGTTGATATTGATAGAACATGGTATTCACTACTGAAAACTGAACATGAAAATGGTAGATTCAAGATCAATTAATGAAAACATCCTGTAACTCATTTGTAGACTAAAATCACTCATTCATATTCACTGAAAAGTGTCAAACTATATACGCAGCACAACTTTCAAAGAAAAATAATTTGCATTTACATGTTGAGAACGGGAGCAGAATCGGTCCCGAAACGTCCAAAGATAAGTACAAATTCGATATTTTTTCAATATATCTATCTATATTTCTTTCCTTCAAAAATTTTTTCAAACAAATTGTCACTGACAAGCTACTGGATTTTTCTTTTAGACTCCCTGATAGAAAAATTTGTTAAACGCAGTGACATTTTGGGGCAAATTATCTGATTTGTCCCTCTACAAATATATTGAAATAATACGAATACTTTTATTTTATAGAAACGAGGAGAGAAAATCCCAAAGAACCAAGTAAAATGAATTAGACCAATTAGCTTAATTAATACCTTTGCCAAATTATTTGAGAAATGTCTCAAAAGCAGACTCTACGATTACTTAACAACAAATAAAATTTTGAGCGAGAGACAGTATGGAGTTAAACAGGGGATGAGTACTACAGATGCAATGTTCAATCTCATAGACAATATAAAAAAACGCATGGACAATAACAAGAAATGCATTGGTGTATTTCTCGACTTAGCAAAAGCCTTCGACACGGTACCTCACACAAAACTTCTTAATGTACTTGAGCATTATGGAGTGAGAGGCATAGTGTTGAAGGTTTTTCAAAATTATTTATGCAACAGAAAACAGAGAACGAAAATAAAAAATGTATACAGTGATCTCAAGACGATACAAATCGGAGTCCCACAAGGAATAGTCCCTGGACCAATTTTATTCATATCATACATAAACTCCCTACTAAAAACTCATAAAAACGGTATAACAATATCATACGCAGACGATACTGTTCTGGTTTTCAATGACAATACTTGGAACGAGGTACGTGAAAAAACTGAAACGGGATTATCTATAGTAAAACAATGGTTAGACTACAACAAGCTATCATTAAATGCCAGCAAATCTACCTATATAGCCTTTTCACTGACAGATGCAAATCGACCAGATTTCAAT